TTTTTTTTTACACAAAGGCGTTCAGGGCTGTCCCTGGTGTCCTGGAGTTTCTCACACCTGTGCATGAAGAGGAGAATATCCTTCGATGTAAGTTAATTAAACAAAGAGCAAGGACAGTTGCCATGGTTACGCGTTTGGGGGGGCAGTTTAGGGTTTCCTAACCTCTCTTACGAAGAGTTCCAATAGGCTGTTCAGGAGAAAGCTAGTCTCTGGTGAGTGTTTCTTTTGTCATTTTAACAGTCAGGCACCGAGCGTTACCTCACTGCATATCTCAGAGAGAGAGAGGACGAATTTTGAGTTTCCAAATTATTTAATATAAAATGCACAAATCCACACTGTTTGTTCACAACACTGAAACATCAACATCTGAACGTGGAATAGCATCAACAGAACCAGCTGCCCCCTGATGCCCAGCCTGTTGTGTACTCTGTGTATTCCCCTCCTGTGAACTCTGTGAACTGTCCTCTTGTGTACCCTGTATATTTCTTTCCTGTGAATTCTGTGTATGTTCATGTTCTGAACCTGTTGATGTAGTCTCACTGTTATTAGCCTCAGCATTTCGTTTCTGTGTTCAGGAATGGACAATATGGCCCTCTACTCCACAGCCAAAGCACTTCATTCTCTCTGAAGATGCATAAAAAATATAATCAAAGTTGTACGCTCTAAACTTCAACATTAAATTTAGTTCCTCATTGTTATCTTTCAAAACCATAAAGACCTGCCTTCTAAAGGAAACTACGCGTTTCAGCTGCGGGGATTTACAGCCTAAAATAATCAGTTTAATTGGAGACATTAGTTGCCCGTGCCTAAGTTAAATGTTAAGAACCAGTGAACCATCTTCCTCTAGTGAACATAAAACATGTCTGATCCCCCACAGAGCCCTGAAAAGCTCCAGATTACTAGGCAGTGTGTAGAAAGCGTGTCCTACTCTCAGACGAGCTGCAACCAGACCTTTCAGGCTCCGCACCATATCCGTCCAGCCCTGACCCAACATTTAATTTTTCCTGGTCTTCCAAATAAAAAATTGATTAAAACAAACATCAGTTTTCTCCTCTCGCCACTACTCAGCAACAGGACAGACGCTCAGAGAGGGAAAAATGTACATACAGTCATCCTTCCATTGGCCAGCATGATCCTTAGCAAAGTCTCTCAGTGGCTCAGACAGGGACTGCCAGACTTCCTCCACAATACTACTCAGCACTCTGGAGTACCTGATGTGGAGCTAACCAGCAGCGACTGCAGCCATACAGCAGCCTCTGTGCCATCTGCAGTTGGAAGGCCGCAGTTCTGGACAGAATGTCTGCAAGTCCTTGTCCTCCCTCTGCCACAGGGAAATACAAGATCGACGCCCTCAGCCAGTGTTGAACAGACCAGAAGAAGTTCACCAGGAGCCGCTGCACCTCTTTCAACAGGCCTGCTGGTGGCACCAACACAATGAGCTTGTGCAACAGAGATGATGCGACCAGGTTATTCACTATCAGAGCTCTTCCCCTATAGGACAGGTGAGGTAGCAACCATTTCCATTTAGACAACCTGGCTTCTACCTTTTCCAGCACTCCCTCCCAGTTCTGCCTCTGAAAGTCCTCACTCCCTAGAAAAGCTTTTTTTACCCCTTTTTCCCCATGTAAGTTTCCCAGGAACACCAGGAGTGCTCCCCACGCGCCACTCCCCCACTAAACAAGCCTCACTTTTCCCCCAGTTCACCTTGGCAGAAGAAGCTTTTCCATACAAGGCCAGGGTGTCTTCTAGCTCTTGAATGTCTCCCTGATTGCAAATAAATACATTTACATCATCAGCATATGCTGATACAACAACAGGGGGCATCTGAGCCAGCTCTGGCAGGGGAGAGACCCCTAAGTTTGCAGAGGAGAGGCGCAATGGCAATGCTGTAAAGCTGGCCTGAGATGGGGCAGCCTTGCCTGATCCCTCTCCTAACTGGCACTGGAACACTAAACCTACCTTCACCACTTCACCACACAACAAGCATCACGGTACAACAGCTTTGCCCAAGACAGAAAACCCTCCCCAACACCAAAAATCTGTAAGGTAGAAAAAAGAAAATCATGATCCACACGGTCAAAAGCCTTCTCCTGGTCAATAGATATGATACCAACATTGATGTTATATACTTTGCAAATATCAAAACCATCTCATTAAAAACAAATTATCAAATGTGGACCTGCCCAGTACACAGTACGATTGATCTGCACCAATTAAAAAGTCAATAACAGTTTTCAATCTATTTGATAAGACCTTAGAGAGAATCTTACAGTCCGTGCATAAAAGATCTACTGGTCTCCAGTTCTTTAAAAGAGTTAAATCTTCCTTCTTGGGCAGCAGAGAAAGAACTGCACGCCTGCAGGATGCTGGAAGTGTCTCTTTTTAAAACACTCTTTAAAAACGTCCAGAAGGTCCTGTCCCATGATAGTCCAGGAAGGAGGAAGGTGTTAAGCTCCTGTTTTTTTGATCGTAAAAGATCATTATTTTGCTTATCTGTTCGTAATGCACAAGTCTCTTATCTCGCCCTCTAACTCCTGCACAGCTCTGTTTGTTGTGACACTGGCTGTGTATTCCTGACAAAACACCCTAATTTGAGCTTTTCCTCCCTCCCATCACTGAGCCAGGGAAAGAAAATCATCTTTCCGAGATCTCCATTAAGCCCAAAACAATTTGAAATTTTCACAGAAATTAAGATCTTGTAATAATTTAACATTAAAACACCAAATGGATTTTGGTTTTCCAGTGGGAGAAAGAATCAGCTCCATTAAGACTAAATGATGGTCTGTAAAAACTACTGGAACTGAACCAGGTAGACAAAACCTGTCTAGTCTCGCAGCACTTACTCTACCATCTGATATTTTGATCCAAGTGTACTGCCTATCTGAAGAGTGTTTCATCCTCCACACATCAACCAAATCAGTTTTTCTTAATACATGAGACAGAACAGAGGAGGACTGAATATGTGGTTCCTCTCCAGTCCTATCTAACATAAAGTCAGTTCAGCAATTCCAGTCACCACTCAGTACAATGCAATAAACTCTCCTGTACCAGTATTATTTAGTTCTTCTTTTATTAAAAATTGATTATCAACACACTCTGCATCCTGCTCTGGCCTCCCCAGGTCATCCTCTCTCTGCCCTGTCCAGACCTCAGTCTCCTTCTCACCTGCAGCACTGTCTTTAACCTCGAGGCCACCAACACCGTCAGCCCAAACCACTAAGCCTCTTTCACCGTCAGCCCTGACCGCGGAGCCTCCATCACCACCATCACCGTCAGCCCCAACCACTAAGCCGCTATCACCATCACCACAGTCACCGTCAGCCCGGACCACGGAGCTGTCAGCACTAGCATTGCAATGGGGAACTGTTATCTGCAGCAGCGGCCGCAGCGGGCCACGCTGCATGCTGTTTGTGGGAACACGCGATCCGCTTGTCGCCCACATCTCCACACTCAAAACACTTTACATGTTACCGGAGCTAGCATATAGCCTACCATATAGTGTCCCTGTTCATGTTTAACACGGAATGAGATATCCGTGTTTGAGTTGGAGAATTTAGAAAGATGAACACTTGTTAATTTTTTAGCGTTGTGTTTTGATTTTGACATGTGTTAATGTTCACTGGTAGCCACCCCTCCCCCGAATTTCACCAATTTTCATGTGGTCGCCCTACAACTTACAGTGACAATACCGCAAACAATGATCAAACAATCATAATGTAAACACTTAGGGAGGAAACAAAAGAAGTTTGGAGTTACTCACAAACTCTCAGCCACACTGAGCACGCTCTCCTCCACCAAACTCCCAGCATGCACTCAGAGAGAGAGAGAGAGAGAGAGAGAGAATCATATTCATTTATTGTAATTCAGTTTGAATCAGTGGAGCGTATTAAATGCAAACAGTAAAACAGCTCCACATCTGTAATAAGGACTGGAAACAGTTTTGACATGATGAGCATTACAGCCTCACAGAGCCTCTATTTATTTTTGTTCCCTTTTGTCTCTCTTGTAGTGCATTTCTGCTTATGTGTATGGGTCACTATAATGTGAGGTGTAGGAAAGTTTCCATCAAAACGTCCCTGATTAGGTTTTACTGCCAATTAGGCTACTGTTGTTGTTAGTATTAGTAGAAGTACTGGTAGTATTACAGCTTTACTTATGAATAGCTACATATAAGAGAAATTATTACAAAATCTTTCTCACCTGAACAGATCACTCCAGCATCCTCACCATGTCCACAGTTGTGTGTCCCAAATCCTCCACGCTGACACTGAGTCAGAGACTTTTCACTTCCTGAACAGTTCACATTATCAAGCCAGATTTGACCGGTTCCTTGACCAAAATGAGTCAACTCAGTGGCACTCAGTGCTGCACCACAGCCCAGCTCCCTGCACACCACCTCAGCATCATTTAAGTCCCAGCTGTCATCACAGACTGTGCCCCAGGGTGTTGTTGTGATACATTTCAACTCTTCCAGAGCACCGAGTTGAGCCAGACCCAGCTAGTCTGATCAGAACACCTAGTTTCAGAACACAGAAGACAAATCAGTGCTGGATAGAACATTCGCTTGTCATTTAGTCATGACAGAAATCTTTATTGTAAGACAAATTTGGCAAAGGATCACCCATACACACTGTGAGAAATATAAAACACTTTTCACAGTAGATCAAACACTCGATGAACTTCATCACCTACATTACAGTTTCATTTACTGTATTGAGCAACATTTCCCACTTGTTATTCTGCTCTTCAATTCTAAAAGCATTCTGCAGGGTGTGGTTAGAAGCTCATATAGTGCTGCATCTGCACAGTATTTATTCAAAATACTTTATCTGAAACGTTTTCTCACCTGATGGCTTCATAATTAAATGACAGCTATGAAATGAGTATCAGTCTTATCATCTAACTCTCATCATGAAAATGAAAAAGCTTATTTCCCAACATGTTGAACTATTTTTTTGTGAAAAAAACATCAAGTTCAGGGAATGTATTAACTTCCTTACCAGTAACAGAGAGTCTGACAGAGTCACTTAAAGGGGAGCTGAAGTCTCGTCTTGAAACACTTGTCTGATACTGACACTGGTACGATCCTTCGTTATCAAAGTTCACTTTAGGTATAATGAAGGTAGCAGAGTTGATACTTGATGTTTGGTTCTTTCTGAATGAGCCTGAGGTCTGCTGCAGGAGGAATGTTCCGTCTAAATTAACCTGAATTAAGATCGACCAAGTGATGCTGATGTTCTGACCCCAGGTAACCTCACCAGCAGGATTCATGGAGATGCTGGGCTTTGAGAGGCTCTCTGAAAAAATGACAAAACAATAAAGTATTAAATGTATTATATATATGATCCTGGCTGTATTAACGCTGTTTTTCTGCCTTTTTCCCGTAGGTGTGTACTTGTAAGGCAGTGTGGTGTCCGAACGATAATGCTGCGATGATGTGTTGAGAAGAAATCCGCTTGACACTGTTCTTGATTATAAAAGTTTATTACATCAAGGAGTTCAGCATCAATTACAAGCTCTGCAGCAGCTTGGAGAGTGACCCAGCCCGATAACCACTCTGTCTCTCTGTACATCGAACACAGCTTATATAGGACATGTTTAGGTCTCTGCTAAAAACCATATAAGGGCACAGTACTGTAGACTAAGTGTAACCATCTGTTAGACACCACTTCCCCTACCACTGTGTCTCTCTCCAGCTCTGGGTCAGGGGTCAAATTCTATAGGAGAGTTCACTCTTGGTACACCCATCAATCATTACTTCCTCATAAGGGTTCACTGTTCCTCTCACCAGCTGCAGAGCATTATGTTAAACTGTAATGTCAAAAGCATATGTTATACACCACAGCAGTATAATGGGAAACTTGAATGAATGAATTTGTGATGCACACACTGTAAAAATAGGACCAACTCATAATCCTTCTTGTGTATCTCATAGAAGGTTTACAGATTTGAGAATTTACAATATTATTCTATTATTGCAAATATGATATAATTGTAATTATGATAAACATGTACATGACTCTCTTTCCATTGTGGCTTCTCTTCCCTTTTACAGATTCTGACTGAAGGAGTAGCACTTCAGACCACTTGGTCTTTTGTTTTTAGAGAGACAATTTTTGCACCTATTTAGTTAAGTTAGGGATGTGTTTTGTTCTATATGCCTCCACCCTCCATTCTATGTTTTAATAATTACACAACTGTTTAACTTTCACATGCTGGTTTTTAAAATCCCATCTCTCTGTGGGTGGGGGTCATTGTGAATTCTGCATCACAAAGGTACATTGTGAGAAAATGCTTCAAATCCCAGAATACAATAATGAAAATAAAAGTGAAAGCATGAATAGAAAGAGTTAAGAGACACGACACACCGCACAGAAACACTGTTGCAGGCAGGTGCAAACTGATGCACATAGACACCTGGGTTGGGCGCAGGTCAGACACTGCCTGGCTTTGGTTACCAAGCAATTTTATAAATAAATTTGAAATTGAATTTCTTTTACAGATAGAAATTAAATTAATGTTACAGAGAGAGAGACAGAGAGAGAAGGGGGGACTGGCATGCTGGCACTGAGAGAGAAGTAACAAGAAATACAGGTGTCATATAATTAGAATATCATCAAAAAGTTGATTAATTTCAGTAATTCCATTCAAAAAGTGAAACTTGGGTATTATATTCATTCATTACACAAAGACTGATATATTTCAAATGTTTATTTCATTTAATTGTGATGATTAAAACGGACAACTAATGAAAATCCCAAATTCAGTATCTCCGAAAATTAGAATATTACAATATATAAGACCAATACAAAAAAAGCATTTTTAGAAATGTTGGCCAACTGAAAAGTATGAACATGAAAAGTATGAGCATGTACAGTACTCAATACTTAGTTGGGGCTCCTTTTGCCTGAATTACTGCAGCAATGTGGCGTGGCATGGAGTCCATCAGTCTGTGGCACTGCTCAGGTGTTATGAGAACCCAGGTTGCTCTGATAGTGGCCTTCAGCTCTTCTGCATTGTTGGGTCTGGCGTATCGCATCTTCCTCTTCACAATACCCCATAGATTTTCTATAGGGTTAAGGTCAGGCCAGTTTGCTGGCCAATTAAGAACAGGGATACCATGGTCCTTAAAACCAGGTCCTGGTTGCTTTGGCACTGTGTGCAGGTGCCAAGTCCTGTTGGAAAATTAAATCTGCATCTCCATAAAGTTGGTCAGCAGCAGGAAGCATGAAGTGCTCTAAAACTTCCTGGTAGACGGCTGCGTTGACCTTGGACCTCAGAAAACACAGTGGACCAACACCAGCAGATGACATGGCACCCCAAACCATCACTGACTGTGGAAACTTTACACTGGACTTCAAGCAACGTGGATTCTGTGCCTCTCCTCTTCCTCCAGACTCTGGGACCTTGATTTCAAAAGGAAATGCAAAATTTACTTTCATCAGAGAACATAACTTTGGACCACTCAGCAGCAGTCCAGTCCTTTTTGTCTTTAGCCCAGGTGAGATGCTTCTGACGCTGTGTCTTGTTCAAGAGTGGCTTGACACAAGGAATGCAACAGCTGAAACCCATGTCTTGCATATGTCTGTGCGTGGTGGTTCTTGAAGCACTGACTCCAGCTGCAGTCCACTCTTTGTGAATCTCCCCCATATTTTTGAATGGGTTTTGTTTCACAATCCTCTCCAGGGTGCGGTTATCCCTTTTGCTTGTACACTTTTTTCTACCACATCTTTTCCTTCCCTTCGCCTCTCTATTAATGTGCTTGGACACAGAGCTCTGTGAACAGCCAGCCTCTTTAGCAATGACCTTTTGTGTCTTGCCTTCCTTGTGCAAGGTGTCAATGGTCAATGGACAGCTGTCAAGTCAGCAGTCTTCCCCATGATTGTGTAGCCTACAGAACTAGACTGAGAGACCATTTAAAGGCCTTTGCAGGTGTTTTGAGTTCATTAGCTGATTAGAGTGTGGCACCAGGTATCTTCAATATTGAAACTTTTCACAATATTCTAATTTTCTGAGATACTGATTTTGGGGTTTTCATTAGTTGTCAGTTATAATAATCAAAATTAAAAGGAATGAACACTTTTTGAATGGAATTACTGAAATAAATAAACTTTTTGATGATATTCTAATTATATGACCAGCACCTGTATATTCATTTAGTGTAATTAGGTTTAATTCAATAGAGCAGATTAAATGCAAACAGTAAAACAGCTCCACATCTGCAACAAGGACTGGAAACTGTTTTGACGGTCATGGTTCCCAGAGGATAACCTGACAGCCTGACATTCCCTCCAGCATTATCAGCAGGTTGACATGTGGTTCAGACTGATATGTCTCCCCCATGCAATGTGGTGTATTTGTGAACCTCATCAGGTGAGACTTCCTGATTTTTCCTGATAAACCAAGTGACTTCACTTTGTCAGACAGTTTGTTTCTCTGTATGATGAACATTACAGCCACAAGGAACCTCTATTTATTTTCGTTCACTTTGGTCTCTCTTGTAGTGCATTTCTGCTGATGTGTATGGGTCACTATAATGTGAGGTGTAGGAACGTTTGCATCAGAACGTCCCCGATTCCTAAATGTCCTGAAGGCAGCAGGACCCAAACAACTTTATTTGTTATACAGTGAATCACAACACTGTGCCCCTTTCTTTTAATCCCAAACCAGAGGGGGCAAAAAGTCAGCAAAAGAGAAATAAGCTCTGAAAAATGAACAGAGGGTTTTTGTAAAATACAGTCTCAGACAAGGCAAGGTTTTACTGCCAATTAGGCTACTGTTGTTGTTAGTATTAGTAGAAGTAATGGTGGTATTACTGCTTTACTTATGAAAGTAAAACTAGAGGATTGCCGGTTCGAGTCCAGCTCAGACTATAGATATGGAGTGTGGACTGGTAGCTGGAGAGGTGCATGTTCACCTCCTGGGCACTGCCGAAGGTGGCCTTGAGGAAGCCCCTGAACCAGCCGTCTGGCTCTGACATCTCTCCATGTGTTGTCCCTATAGGTCCTGTTTGTTCATGTGTGTATATTTCAGACCTGTGTGTAATACTAACAATTAACAAAACAGCGTTTCCCCACACTGAGAATGGGTTCCTTGATAAAATTTGTGTTTTTGTCCAAAATGTTCAAAATTCATACAGATTGTTCATAAAGTGAAGAGTGACAGTGAAAACTTTGAGTTTCCCTTATATCTTCTTCTTCTAATAGCTACATATAAGGGAAATTATTACAAAATCTTTCTCACCTGAACAAATCACTCCAGCATCCTCACCATGTCCACAGTTGTGTGTCCCAAAACTTCCATTAAGACAGTGAGTCAGAGACCTTTCACTTCCTGAACAGGCCACCTCATCAAGCCAGATTTGACCGGTTCCTTCACCAAATCGGGCCGACTGAGTGACACTCAGTGCTGCACCACAGCCCAGCTCCCTGCACACCACCTCAGCATCATTTAAGTCCCAGCTGTCATCACAGACTGTTCCCCAGGTGTTGTTGTGATAGATTTCAACTCTTCCAGAGCACCGAGTAGACCCGGACCCAGCTAGTCTGATCGGAACACCTAGTCTCAGAACACAGAAGTCAAATCAGTGCTTGATAGAAAATGTGTTTGTTTGTCATTTAGTCATGACAGAAATCTTTATTGTAAGACAAATCTGACAAAGGTTATGATTCATTATACTTTGCATCACCCATACAGACTGTGAGAAATATAAAACACTTTTCACAGTAGATCAAACACCTGATGAACTTCATCACCTACATTACAGTGTAGCATGCCTAAACTACATATGAATTTTAATACATTTATGATAATTAATACCCAATTATAAATTTTAATATTCAGAACATATTAATCCATAAAAAGCTCTCGTTTCGCAGGGGCACCACCGGAGTTGTTATTAACCTAGAGCCTCCGGACCTCTAGGTAGCTTTTAATAAATATACAATTATTCACCAGTGATCAGTTAGTTAATAATCGCTCAATTATCTTAAATCAATCAGTCAGTCTCATATCTAAAAGGGTAAATTCTCTTGGCAGGGACTTAGAAGTAGGCAATACACACAATTCCTTGGTTACAGTGAATTTATTAACTAACCAAGGTGAAATAAAAACGTGGTTAAATACATCAGAGAAATAAACAATGGCTAAACAATGAGAATGGAGGTTTGATTGTGGGAGGATTTGACTCATACGGCAACTAATGAATGCAATTAGATGATAACTGGGTTCAATTTGTCTAGGGATTTAATGAATACATATGCTGTACTAAAGATGAATGGATTAGCAACTATTGGACGTCACTGATCACAGAATGTAGGGTTTTGGTCTTACTGCTTGTGTTTCTTCCAGCCGGGTTGCTAGTAAACGGCCTCACACTGGCAGAGTCCGTGCGTTCTCGTTTAGGACAGCTTGAAGCTGTCGGCCAGTCACTTTCTCTGCCAGGGAATTTCTCCAGGGGTCCGTCTCTAGGTGGCTTATAGAAGAAACTTGCAGTGGGGGCCTTCCCAACCCTGTCTCGGGTCATGATTAAGTCGTCCTTTGTTATGCTGGTGGGACCACGTGGCTGGGTCTGAACTCGGTGAAGTTAGCTCGACGAATAAAGCTTAAAAGGTTGTTCTTGAATTAAACTAGTGTAACTTAACGGACTGATCGAACAAAACAAAAGACAGAAAATAAAGTTAAAGTTAAACGAGGGAAAATTCGATGTCGCGGCATTTCGCGTGTGTAGCTTCAAGCGAAACAAAGACTTTGTTGCGCTGGTTGAATTCTTAGGGCGTTGCCGGGAGAGGGGCACGCCAGGCGCGTGCAGAAGCGCCGTTGAAGAGCCCGGAAACAGGCCTGCAGACAAGAGGGAAGCATCCAGAGAGCAGCGGGGAAGAGAGAGCGAACAACGTTGTGTGTCGCTCTTTTGTTGTCTGGGGCGTCCAGACAAGTCCTTCGTTTCCCGCAGGACGGGCAGTTTCCGGTTTCCCGAGGGACTGTCTTTCTAAACTTTTAATATGTCTATAAAAAGGAAAAGAAAATCTATTTGCGCGTATTATAATCAAATATTTTCCTACAATCAAACCTCAATGGTCAAACGGTTGTCCCATTCTAAGTTTGAGCATTTGGTAACAGGAAAACAATTGTCAGTAATTAGACCTTAAAAGGTTAGCATTTCAGAATGATGGCATGTGATACTTATTTCGTCCACTTGGAGGAGCTCAGGTTACATGACGACAGCTTAGATTAATCCCAAAACAATCTTCTCAGGAGCTGGAAAATTTAGTTATTCAGCCTTAAATTCAAGCTGGCAATTAATAGCGTATAGTATGATATTTCTTTATCATCATTTCTAAAGGAATTGTGTGAGAAAGTATTGTGAACAAGCATTGGTTACGCATAAAATGAAGGAGTGTCTTTAACCTTGCTGAAAATTAAAACACTGCAAAAGTAACTTATTTAGATTCTTTTCAGCAATAATAACAATAGATAGCAACAACATGGTGACATAACTACTCTAATAGAGGCAGCGCCACTACTAACTTAGCAAGGACTATTATTTGAAGAGAACAGTTTATAATGAAACATTGTTTTAGCTCAAGAAGGCAGGAGTTGTGTCCCCTTTTCGCATAACCTGGCTTATCACGTTCAATCTTTGTTTGCATAAGGGAGTTCAGGTCTGTGTCTCTGGTATCCTGGAGTTTCTCACCTAGGCGTGAAAAAAGAGTATGTCTTTGATGAGGTAATGAAACGCAGAGCAATGACAGTTGCCACAGTTACATGTGTGGGGGGCAGTTTAGGGTTTCCTGCCCCCTTTTAAGGAGAGTTCAGATAGGCTGTTCAGGGAAACGCTAATCGCTGGTTAATGTTCCTTTTGTAAGTTTAACAGTCAGGCACCGTGTTATCAGGCTGCGGAATCAAAGGTGCCAGTTTTACGATCAGGCTGCTCAGGAATAGCACTTAGGTAAAGCGACCTTTCAACCCCCCCTCTTTTGGGGTCTCTGCAGCCGTCTGTAGAGGGTTGATAATCAAAACCCTCCTTTCTTCCCACTAGAGAGATTTTAATTTTGAGTAGTCCAAATTTATTTAATATAAAATGCCCAAATCCACACTGTTGTTCACTACAACAGTTTCATTTACTGTATTGAGCAACATTTCCCACTTGTTATTCTGCTCTTCAATTCTAAAAGCATTCTGCAGGTTGTGGTTAGCAGCTCATATAGTGCTGCATCTGAACAGTGTTACATTTCACACCACAATGGCTCGGTGACAGAGCTGGTAAAATACACAGAAAAGGATACATTTATTCAAAATACTTTATCTGAAACGTTTTCTCACCTGAACAGACCACACCAGCGTCCTCACCATGTCCACAGTTGTGTGTCCCAAATCCTCCGTGCCGACACTCAATTAGAGACCTTTCACTTCCTGAACAGCCCACATCATCAAGCCAGATTTGACCGGTTCCTTGACCAAAATGGGCCGACTGAGGGGCACTCAGTGCTGCACCACAGTCCAGCTGTCTGCACACCACCTCAGCATCATTTGAGCCCCAGCTGTCATCACAGACTGTTCCCCAGGTGTTGTTGTAATAGATTTCAACTCTTCCGGAGCACCGAGTAGACCCGGACCCAGCTAGTCTGATCTGACCATCTATAAAGAATGTAAGACATAACATAGAATATTTTAAAGACCAGTGTTAGACAAGTCATTTACAAAATGTAATACATTATAGATGACTAATTACTGTCAATTGAGAATAATTAGTTAGATTACAATATTACTGTCTCTGAAATGTCATGCTTTACATTACTTTTGACTTACTTTCACTGCTATTTAATGGGCGCATTATGCTCATAGTAAGATGTGCCTGCATATGTGGGTTTGTCTCCCCATTAAGAAAGACGCTGTGCACATATTTATGCATGAGGTACAGCAGCATAGCATCACTGATTACTTGAATCTCCCGACAAGATCACTCAGGATGCACTGACAGCAGCCTCTCTGATCATGAAAGTAATTTGTTAAAGCACAAAAACACAGCCTATAGAAATCTATGCCACACTTTCTATGAAGGTCATCACTATATTGACTTATGCATATATTTATAACACAATATAATGCTTCCATAAGACATTATAACAACAGTTGTAATCACTTACAAACATGCATTAGGTGCTACAGCAAAATTCATAACGTATTATGATCTTTTGATTTAATGTTTTATAACTAATAGTAATACCAGTTTATACAACTGTGCGCCGAGAATCTCCAACCATGTTCCATAGTACATTATAATCAACTCTGCCTCGTTATAAATACACTAATAATACAAGTCACGCGTTTCATCGATTTCCCAACAACACCCCCTGTAATCTGACAGACACAAACACAGTTCATGCAAATAGCTGGCCTTGGCTACATCGTCATCCAAAATCCTGTCTGCAGCACAGCAGAGTGTTGTGAATCAGCATTAAGACTGACACTTAAGATTTAGTCCTCCACTTCACTCAAATTAGGACTATGATGCTTGATAATTAACTTTTAAGCACAGCTTTGAGCCAAGAATTTTTTTACTCTTAAGTCAGTTCTTAGCAGCGTTCTTATGAGTAATTCTGAGAAGATTGATAAATACGGGCCCAGGGCCAGTATGTATCAAGCTTCTCAAAGTGCCATTTTAGTCTTAAGTGCTGAGAATTCATGAAATTTACTCCTACTATTAAACTTAAGAATAAAAGCAAACCCCATGTCCGACCCCATCTTATTAACTGCGTGTCGGCAGAATTCTTCCTCTCCTCTCAGCATGTCTCTGTCTCTACAGTGCCATCACAAGACCTACTGCCAGCTCCCAACCACTTGAGAGACCTCTCGAGCTGTCCTAAATAACTGGGAGAGTTAGAGTGATTCTTTGCTTTAAGAAATTTGATAACTTGCTTTTATTCTTAAGTTTAAAAGTAGAGTACATTTCATGAATTCTCAGCACTTAAGACATAAATGGCACTTTGAGAGGGCCCATATTTATCAAGCTTCTCATTCGCAAATATTTTAGGAGAGAAGAATTTCTTATTTTTAATTATTTGACGACACACAGTAAATTAGACGGGGTCGGACAGCGCTGGCATAATCCTTGTCAGCGAGTTGGTGAGGGACGTCATCTCACCACTGACTTTATGCTGTAATGGATTTTCTGTTAAACTGAAGGTCGTGATGACGCTTCGTTTCTTTGTGTCAGGAAAAATGCAGCAATGCTGATGATTTTGGCTGGACACAACCATCAAAAAGCCGAATAGAAACAATTATGGCACTTACGCTACACCTCCACACATTGCCACACGTTTCATCGACTTCCCTACAACACCCCTCGTAATCTGACAGAAGCAAACACAGTTCATGGATATAGCCGGCTTCACAGGAGTAATAGGTGCAATTGATGGCGCTCATATAAAGATAAAGTTTTTTATCTTGTGATGCCTTGTGGGGTCATGTGTGGGTGCGGCCTCTCTCTCTTCCTTGTAGAGGAAGAGCCGATTGCAGTAACTCTGGGCTAATTGCCCTGTAGTGTATTTAACATTTTATTCTCATTCTTAGGGGGAGGTCGTTGCTGGGTTGAGGACGGACGGATGGACGGACCTCTCTGCTAACTTGCTACCATCTGTTTCCCTCCACAGGTTCCACCATCACCTTGGTTTCTGGACATGTTGTTTTAGTTGATAGTTATTATTTTTTGCACATTACAACACCCTCACACACATTTTCCATGCATCCATCAGCCTGACCTGACTGAAACCACTGATGTACATACCCCATACTTGTTCATCTTTACTTTGGCACCAGCCTTAATTTGGTTAATTGTGGTTTAATAAACATATTTTGTTAAACTTCTCCCATGGTGTGTCTCCCTTTTGTTGTGGCATTTTGAGCCAGGTCATAACAATCTTTATTAATGTGTAGGCTTATATCATAATGTATTCTCTAGAAAAATCTTTATTGTTAAATGTGTGTTGAATATAAACTCCTTTTAGGAATTTCACCATTCAATGTGAATTTATCTGAGAATATTCTTAAATAAGGAAATCTCTTCAGTGATAGGTCCTAGGCTTCATCATCATCCAAAATCCTGTTTGCGGCACAGCAAAGTGTTGTGGATCAGCACTGAGACTGACACTTAAGATTTACTCCTTCACTTTCCTCAAATTAGGACTATGATGCTTGATAACTTACTTTTAAGCACAGCTTTGAGCCAAGAATTATTTTACTCTTAACTCTTAGCAGTGTTCTTAGGAGTAATTCTGAGAATCTTGATAAATACGGGCCCAGGGCCAATTATCCACTGCATCTGTTAGGGCTTGTCCGTAGGCTCGCCATTCATCTGTGACAACATCTGAGCCTCTTCTTACATGATGTAATATGGTTGGCAACAAATCTTCTCTTGAGCGATCTTTCACCACCCTGAGAATGAGTTCCTTGATGTAATTTGAGTTTTTGTGCTAAATTGCAAAATGTTTGTAAAGTGATTATAACTACTGTTATAATGTTTTATTGACGCATTATATTGTGTTATAAACACATGCATAAAGCAATATGACCTTCATAGAAAGTGTTACCAAAATGTATTTACACATGATCCATCAGGGGAGCTACCATCTTATTTAGAGGACCCAAGCTCCCCCGTAGTTTATACCCTGCCTTTTTAGTAATGTGTTATATTACTGCAAAAAGCAATAGGCTACATCACTGTAATTGTGTTACTTTTGTAACGTTTTGTGTTACTCAAAACACTGTTAAAGACAAAGTAAAATGTAAACTAACATTACTGTACGCATGAAACAGGAGAATGAACTGACCTGTAGCAGGTGAAGAAGCGGTCAGGAGGAAAAAGACTGTGGAACAGAAGAAATGACATGGCTCATTACATTCAGTAAACTGAAAAGTGCAGAATTAAAGTTTGCCTTGTTTCTGTTTTAGATTCCCTTGTTTATTTTAATGATAGGAAGGTTTTTAAATAGAAAGATTGACCTTAAGAGACTTTTGTTCTTTATAATACAGTAACACTGCTACACAAAAAAAACTGCTTTTCAAATAAAATTTTGGAAAGTCTGTCTTACCAAGGGCCAAATGGCGAAGGTTTCTCTGCTGTATACTCCCCATAGCTGACATGACAGCTGCTCTGTCATTTATCGGTACCAGCACAGATGAACTAAAAACTGTGCACTGTGCACAAAAACTTTTCACACAGCTTTCCCTTCCTGAAACACTTCCTCTTTCTGGTGTTTTTTTTGTGTGTGTTTATAGGTCAGAAGGTCCAACCAAAAGCTGCAGCACTGAAGCATCGATCACTTCTGGATACTGAGATTGTTGTTGATCAACACAAAGACGCAAAAACGCTGCCAGCTTTATCTCCTCCTGATGTTTCTGTTTTGTGTACACAGTGTTTCTCGATAGCTTAAACACATTTCTTGAAAGCATGCCTTTTTTTCTCGAAACTCTAAACACAATACACAACTTCTCTAAAATCAATTATAAATGCTACAGGAAGCCAGTGGAGAGAAGCTCTCATTACGGTTTTAGTGTTGCTGCAGCATTTTGAATTAGTTTTAGCCATTAATATATTTTTGGGGTATACCAGAATAAAGGGTATTACAATAATCCAACCGTGCAAAAACAAAAGCATGTAACAACCTTTTAGCATCTTCATGGTGGGGTCTAACTCTGGCAATGTTTCTCAAATAAAAAAATGCAACCTTTGTAATGCTGTTAAAATGTGATTTAAAATCCAACTCAGAGTCAATAAGGACACCCAGATTTTTGACAACACTCTTCTAGTAGAAGAAGAATTTCTGTCTTATCCTCATTTAGTTTAAGAAGTGGTAACATGTCCAAACAAAACAGTGGAGGACCAAGAATGGAACCTTGTGGAATACCTGAGAGGATACTGAGATATGGTAAGCAAGACTGACAAAATAACTTCTGCCAGTCAGATAGGTTTGGAACCATGACAGGGCAGTGCCAGAGATACCAACCCAGTTCTCAAGACGATCTAAAAGAATATTGTGGTCCACTGTATCAAAGGCAGCGGTCAGATCAAGGAGTACAAGCATGGAAACATTTTTACAATCAGAGCTCACCATGGGGTCATTGACAACCAAGTGCTGTTTCTGTCCCTTTCTGAAACCAGACTGAAATGTATTGTGTATCGTATTGTGTATGTAAACATATTTAATTGTTTATGCAGTACCTTCTCCAGAATCTTACCCAAAACAATGATTGATTGTAGAGAACAATACTTTTGGGTTGTTCCTGTTTTCGTTGATGAGACCAGAGAAATAGGCAGAGCTTTGCTATAAACTGCTACAGAGCTGTTGAAGATGTCACCATGGGCTGTGAGCTTGCTCTTTCTTCACACTCACTTTGCTCTACAGCACTCCCTCTTCAGAATACATGTTTGCTCATTCTTCCAAGGAATAATCATTTCTTCTTGGTTTTCAGAGGGGCAACAAAGTTGAGGGCTGAGTCTAGTTCAGATTGAAATGCTTCACTTAATCATGTACTGAGGATACAGCAGAGAGGGGTAGGGGGCAGGTGTTTTGGAAAGTCAATAACTGATGATGGACTAAAGATACGTCTTTTAATAATAATGTTATTGATTTTTGGCG